ATCTCCTAGCCAGGGCTAAGACATATACATACATATATATACACTACCACCACCGCCGAACGGGGGGCGGCGGCACCGGCTCGCCCCTAGTTCCGCCACTGAACAGAAGATCAGAGAGAGAAAGTATAGTATGAACACTTAGTGATAAAGGTGTATTAGAGATGTTGTGATGGTGTTTAAGAAGTGTCTTTACAATGAAGGAGAACACTCCTATTTATAGGAGAATAACTAAACTCCTTAGGATTAGAAGATAATTGTGTACCACAAAATTATCATCTAGAATCATAATTATGATTTCCTGATTATTTATATAATGGTGATAATAATTCCTAATCAGGAATAGTTGGAAGATGATTAATTCAATAATATTTCAACAAAACAAAAAAATCATTTTTACTCTATGAAGACGGGAACAACGCATGTGGATGGCCGTGGCGACGAGGGAGGCGTGTACCGCGGCGATGGGGCAGGGGGTATCTCCGGAGACGGGGCGGCGGGTTAATGGCTAAGATTTTTAGAAAATGAGTAGGGAGTTAGAATTTTATAATATCAATCTAAGAGTATATTTTGGTAAAAAATGTAGGGAAAATGGAAACTAATAATCCAACCTTTTAGCAGTATTCTTACAATAGTCCACATTTTCGTTATTCAAGAATAATCCAACCTTTGCACCCCATCTTCATTCGTTGGTCCATGACCGATTAATGACCTGCTATTCCAAGTTATTTTCTTATCTTTGCAAAATATTATCTTTGTGAAAGGTGAGATTTATAGTATAATGGTTTGCAAAGATAAGAAAATAACTTAGAATAACAGGTCATCAATCGGTCAGAGACTAGTGAATGAAGATGAGGTGCAAAAGTTGAATTATTCATGAATAACGAAAAAGTGGGACTATTGTAAGAAAATCGCTAAAAGGTTGGATTATTAGTTTCCATTTTCCTAAAAATGTAAGGGAAAATTGGTCCATAAAATTTATTTATTTTTTTATTTTTTTATTAAATATTATGAATTTAAATATGGAGTATTATATTGTTTTGAAAAAAAACTAATGAGGTCATGTATCGGAAAAGTGAATGAGTTTTAGTCATACCTAAAATAATTTTTTCTTAATTTATTTAATAATAATAACAATCAAATTATTAATTAATAATAATAATTTTCTGCTCATATGTGTATAATTGAGTTATTTGATTCGCTCTTATATATTTTTTAGGCCATACATTTGATTTTATATTATTTACTTATAATTTTTATATGTGTATGTGTACATATATGTATATTTAAAAAAAACTATATTAGCTACCGTCAAAGTTAACGGCAAATTTTAACGAAAGGACTCAATTAATAAAGATGAAATAGATTAAGGGCTAAAAGGATAGATTTAACAGTTCAAGGACCAAAACGATACCATGATGATAGTTCAAGGATCATTTATGCATTTTACTCTTTTGTATGAGACGATTGTAATGAGATTTCCGAAAAGGAAAAACGGGACAATCTTGGTGGGACGGGAGGAATAAAAAAAATTGTAATTATAACAATCTAAATAAAAAGGAAAAAAAATTAAATACTCCAAACTTTAAAAAATTGTGAGGGTAAAACCCCCAAATTTGCATGTGTAATTTAAATACCCCAAACTTTACATAAAAAAACGCACCATGGTCATATGTTGTGTTTTCAAATATGTAAAATTACTGTATTAATGGCATAATTTAAAATGTTTTTATTTCAATTACTAAGCATTACAATTATATGGACTAAGAGTATGTAATATGATTTATTCACAATGAAAGTTTAGAATGTTAATTATATCTTTATGTGTGCTAAATTATATTAAATTATGCAATTAGCACCACAAGTTTACATTTTTGAAAGAAATAATATATAACCATGGTGCTAAAGAAAAACTTTTGATGCAAAGTTTGAGGTATTTAAATTATATATGCAAGTTTGAGGTATTAACTTCATGCCCCTTCAAAGTTTGGGGTATTTGATTATTTTTTTTCCCAAATAAAAATTATTATAATATATACTACTACCTACGTTCCAAAAAACTTTGTCATTTCATAAAATTTAAACCATGATTTTGACTTGTATAATTTTATGGAAGTTTCAAAATTTATACTTTTATGAAAATACTTTTAATAAAGAACATTTTCATATAATTTTTATATTATAAATAATTTACAAGATATAATTGATCAATGTTTTGACAATAGCAAAGTCTTTTGGGACAGAGGTAGAACATGTTATATTAGTGTTATATTCATTCATTTTTTCTTATTGTCTTGATAATAGAAGTAACTAAGATTCATTTTTTGGCACTCAAATTACTCCAATTTTTTCTTTTTAAAACTAATAAAAGTAAGTACGTAAAAAAATAGTAAACTATTAACATTATTAATACCAAAGACTCCATATTTACAAACATATTAGATTTATAAGTAGTATTTTTAAGAAGTTAATAATTTAGAATCCTATTTTTTCTGTTCGGTTAGGATTTTGAACCGGTTAAACCGGCTCGGTTCTGGTTAAAATATGTAACATACTCGGTCCGGTTTCGGATTTCTATTTTTTGTTTACAATACTGGTTCTAGTTCCGGCCCGGTCCGATTTTGAACCGATACACACCCCTAAAGCTAGCCTCTCAAGCGTGAAGCGATACAATTTACAAAACACGGATCATATAACATACCTATACCTCATCATAAATATAGATTGACAAACCTTTCAAATAAACTGTTGTAATATACTCCCTCTGATACAAAAAGATCTTCTTACTTTTCTTTTTTGTACGTAACGAAAAGATCTTTCCATTCCCAATACTTTCTGTCGTACAATCAATAATTTTGAAAATAGTACACTATTACGATTACTTTTTTGAATTGATCATTCATTCCATCACATTATTCCACTTTCTTTTCATCATACCCTCAATAATTTATTTCCTCTTTCACTATTCTTAATCGATCTACTTTTAAAATTGAAACATCTTTATGTTATGGATGGTATATTGAATTGAAAAACTAGGAAAGAGGGAAGAAGAGTAAATTGATGATAAAGTAAGAAAGTTAGTATGTTAAGAAAAGTAAAGTAATGATACAGTAGGAAAGAGAAAAAAGTATGTAAAAAGTAAAGGGATAAAAGTAATAAAAGTTGGGTAATTATCTCAAAAAATTTCCTAAAATGGAAAGAAGGACAATAAATAAAAAATCAAAATGGAATAAGAGAATTATTAAAGAACGGAGGGAGTATATAATAGATCTTATATTTGGAACGAGGGTTCTAATTTGTTGTAAAAAAAATTATTTCAAACTTAAAGGTTTTATAGTTCAATTAAATTAATGAATACAAAATTAATTAAAAGAAAACGGTTACGAAATAATGTCAAAAATAGGAGTTGAGACTTTGGGCTGTACAAAAATAGGACTGTTTTTTTGAAAGACAAAAAAGAGACCAAAGCTCTTCCGTAGCATCGTTCCGTTCTCTTCCATTTTGCGCGACAGAGATGAAGGAGAAGTTCCAACCAGGAAGCCATCTGCGACAGAGCTTAACGGACGGAACACTGGCACGCCTGCCTCCAGCCCGTGTGTACGCCCCTGTCCTTTATCATCGACGGCCAGCGAACGCCGACACTCGCAGCGGTGGTTTGAGCTTCGCTTTCCATCTCCGACCTTCATCCATCCAACGACGAGCTTCGGTTGTTGAGCCAAATCCAGTACTCAACGACGACTTTGGAGGATGGAGCAAATTTGTCCTCTACCTTGGGCCTGAGCAAATCCACCATTGACTTTGGGGTACTCAGATCTGAAATTTCTAGAGGAATTCGAGCTATTTAGGAGGGGGCTGAGAAGGGAGGATGGCTGGGAATGTGAAGGAGATTGGAAGAGGGCTGCCGGGAATGGGAGGGGGCTAGAAAGGGGCTGCCGGGAATGGGAAGGGGCTAGCAAGGGGCTGGGAAGAGGCCGGCCGGGAAGGGAAGGGCCGGGGAAGGGGCTGCCGGGAATGGGAGGGGCTGGGCGGTGGTCGGGGCGGCAGTTTGGCGTTGGTTAATGGTTGAATTGGTCATGGTCATTTGGGTTGGTCACTGATTGAATTGGTCACTGTCGGTTTGGTCATGGTCGGGTTGATCACGGTAGAATTAGTCAGTGGTCGGATTGGTCACCGATCAGATTGGTCGCAGTCATTGATCGGATTGGTCACTGGATGAATTGGTCATGGTCATTGGTTAGATTGGTCACTGGTCGGGTTGGTCACTAGCCAAATTAGTCACTGGTTAGATTGGTCATGGTCAATATAGTAGGTGATTAGTCACATTTTTGGAACTTTTTAAAAGTGGTCCTATATTTGTCCAAAGTATTTGTTTATGTATTATTTATGGACAAACTCCAATGTTTACTACGTAAGTTATAACAAAGAGTCTAGCCAACTGCTTACATTTTAAATATAACGATTAAATCAACTAACTACTACCAAAAAAGCAAGTGAATATACAACTTATCATACTAATCACTTTTGCCTATAGAAATTGTAACTTGGATATGCTCGATATTTCTCTATACAGAGAAAGTGAGCATACATGTTAACGAAAGAGCCCAGTCTACTACTTACAATGTTTTAAATTAATCATCACCATTTCTTCCTGTACAGATAATAAAAGTGAATGGGGCATCTATATTTTTCATCAGGGGCATGTAAGTTTTTTTTATTATTGAAATTTGAAATGAAATACTACGTATAACTCCTACATTAAAAGTAAAAAAATCAGATTATATAGAAGGTATGTCCGCCCCTGAAAATAAAGGTTGTTCATTTGGATGTAGTGGTAAATAATGAACAAATTATGAGTATTTTCTTATTCTATGGGACTATGGGAGCATACCAAAGTAAACCTAGTTCTTTAGCTACCATACAGATCAAAGTAAATCGAGCAGTGGACTCCTTTCTGTTATACATTTATCTATACTTGCACACAGCACACCCACCCGCATTTGGTATTAAAAAAAAAAAAAAGCAACGTTGGCAGATGACACAGTATAAAAAATGAGGCACCAAATGACCAAAACAAGCGGTAGAAAAGTACTATTTCGTAATACACAAGAAGCATTCAAACTTAATTGACTACCCTACAGAAACAATACCTAAAAAGCTGTCAGCAAAACCGACAACTTTTAACAAGCAGTATGAGATGGGCATAAAAAGCCTTTCACGGGATCAAAAGCTAACAGACTATGCAACACATACCGGATAAGTAAGAAATAGCACATGGATAGAAGAACATTACACGAGTCTCGACTTATGAATGTTATATTCAAACCAGCACCTTCAGTCACAGGAAACTACATTGGTATTAACTTCAAGAAGGATCAAAGTGACGCGAGGCTATTCACGTATGGCACACATATAGTAGCATCATATGTTTCTGCACCTGGCTGGTTCAGAGCTTTAGTTTCTTTGGACTTGAAATCATAGGAATACAACTTTCTCCCACACTTAATGACCAGAACATCACTGCTTAGAATTTCAATTTTGCAGCGGTTATGATCCCCATCAAGCACATTGCTTTGGAGAGAAACATTCTGTACAGGCTCCCACATTTTTGTTATGGAATTCATTTCCATGGTATTTGTGTGCACATTAACCAAAGCACTAATACACACCGAAAGTCCACGGAGAGAAGTCTTACATAGCTTTCCATCAAATGTTCCCAGAGCACAGTCATTACTGTAATAATGCTTTTCAAGAAGTTGTGACCTGTCTTTTGCTAGATCAAAAGAAAGAATGCCACCACCAGCCATGTTCCAGTAAACAACCCCATTGACATGAATCCCAGACCTAGGGGTAAATCGTTTAACTCCAAAACGAATCTCCCCAGAAACACTCCACGAGTTGTTTCTGGAGGTGTATATTTCAAACTCGGCTGCATCATCAAAATCTGCAGATCGGAAGGCACAGATGAGCTTGTACTCAGGTACAAAGTTGAGCAGTGATGGTTCAAATGCAACTACAAGTGCTGAATCAGGTCCATGACAAGCAGTTGGTTCTGGAAGTTTGTGCCATTGTTTTGTAGCTGGATTGCACATGTAGTAGGGCTTATTTCCGCTTCGTCCTTGGCAACAAAGAAGTCCATTTGATGAGGCCTTAAGGTCAACAGGCTCCGGCAGAAAACTCAGGGATGGGTCTGGAACACCCGAACAGTTTAGGTGGATAGGTATGAAGACAGGAGGATTTTCAGGAGTCTGACAGAATAGACCTGATATTGCACGGCAACAGAGTGACTGAGTATGGTGAAAAAATGGCGCCGAAATATGGAGCTTCCAGTCTCGACAAACCGCCCGGAATCTGAGTAGTGATATAGCTGGAAGGAAAGGCAGGGCATGTTCTCTGATGATATCCTTAAGATCCATGTAAAGAATACTGTTTGCAGAAGAAAGAAGTTTCCCTGGCTTTTTCCCGGGCTCCATTCTTGCAACCAAGAGTATCTCTAGAGATTGGGATGCAAAAAAAATGTCAAGGTGATCAAATCACATGCAATTATGACCAAATATGCACTATATACCCTATTCTCATTGAGAAATCACAAATCCCAACTACAAAGAGGCACCACCACATTGTAAGAGGAACATTAAACTGACCAGAGTTTTCTGTGTTTAGAAAGAAACAAGTTTGAATGGTAGGAGAAAAAATCAAAAAAGATTCCTTGGCATTACAAATTCACTATACAATAAACAAGAAATGTGCAAGCAAGGATAATCACATCAAGACAAACCATTTAAAAAGTTAGGCCTCTCTTAGTCTCTTGTAATAAGCAAAAAGTAGACCCACAAGAAACCACATAAAAGAAATAAAAATACAACAATACCACGCTTATCTATGTAGTACGTATGTCCATATGTAGTCGAAGTCCTTACCTATCCTTGTTCAATAGCTTCAGAATTTAATTTGAACAACACCGTGTCCTGAAATAGATCAGTAAAACCAAATATTAATACCAGGAAAAGAAGTGTATAGCATTATTAAGACATTATACCCATAAAGGCATTCATACCTCTAGATAAGTAAATGTTAATCAGTGATACAACAACATCCAAGCCTTAGTCCCAAAAGACTAAGGCGAAACAAGATCAGTGATATTTCTCATAATTTAAAAACAAGATCAAATGTCGAACCCAAAACGTATGCTAATTCAAATTTGAAAAAATGTCATTACTTTGTCAACTGTCACAGTATTAGGGATGTGGTAGCGAAAACACCATAACATGTAAACAAACAAAGAGCACTATAGACACAAAAATGTAGAGCCAAAGGCAAAACTCCAAAATATACAGACAATCTCAAGATATTACAAGTTTTTACCCCAATATATGTTACTCCCTCCGTCCCACAAAAGGTAAATGAATATTAGTCACACAAATCATTCTATAAAGGTAAGTGGGAAAGATTTTTTTTGGGACAGAGGCAGTACTATAATCTTGATTCAAGATGCAAAGGAAAAAATCATCATCATCATTATCATTACTACTATTATTATTGCTATTGATATTATTATATCTGTCTCCTAGTCTTCTTTATATGAAAAGGCTAAATCGAGATAATTATTCAGTATACAAATTAAAAAGCAACAATTTCTTTTCACAATATAACAACATTTGATAGTTCCATCGTACCCTAAGGACCAAGAATCAAGTTAATAGCTGATGCAGGGGTTGATTTCCCCCCAATTTGTACGTCCTCTCTCTAAACACAGACCATGAAATAATTGAAAACCCAAGACCCCGAAATTGAAGAGAAGGTGAAAAAAGAAAACACCCGCAATTAGCTCACACTAAATACGATGTGATACCATGAATGGAATAAATCAAACTCCCTAAGTAGTCAATATGTAAATCGCAACACAAAATTCAGTATTGAAGTATACGATTGTGATTAAAGAAAAAGGCGCGCGCACACATATATATAATAAGCTATGCTAATTCAAAGGAATTTACGCATCGCGAGAGGCGCTTGACCAGCGATAATCAAAATTAAGGAGTTTTTTAATTTTCAATGGAAGAACGAACTTACGCACGATAGGGATGGCTGAGGAGACCGACACAAGAAGGGGATATAGTGAGATGAGACACATTCGCTTAATATCATGGGGTTAAAACTTCTATTGCCTCCATCCGGTACTTTGTTCCCCTGTAAGGCGGGCTCTGTTACAAGAACCGGACCGGACCGGACGGATGACCGGGTCACGGGTCAGTCCGGTCAACGCCCGGAAAACCCGGTCAATATTTATTAGTCATTATATATATTATAATATGAATATTTAATATATAGAATTAAAATAAAAGGTAATAATCTAATTTTAATACTAGTAATCATTGAAAGCACACTCATAAAATATCCTAAAGCATAATTAGTCCCACTTATAGCAATAATGTTATTTGATTTGGTTTTTAAAAAATGTGTAAATAAATATATTTTTTTTATAAAATCTTTAAAATATCATATAAGCATTTTTCAGTTAAATCGAAACTTTCTATACTCCGTACATAATTTATACTACAATAACAACAATAATATATTTTACATTTATTATTGTATTTACTAAAACTTAGAATAAGTATCTTAACTTACAGTACAGTATACTAATGGTGTTAGACTATTAGTACGTCTAAAGACCAACATCTTAATCTTAAAATCTTATAATGGTGAATGAGGGTTAGGGCCTTTTAGGTATCAAAAATGTGTTGGTGTAACATACAGCTATAAGAACTTATACACTATGCTTTTCGCCTTGTGCTCTTTCTAACTAAACTTGATCACCGTTTTACTCCAGTTTACGGTCTTTCCGGATCCCTGCACGAACCAGTTTGCGACACTACCAGTCCGTCTATCTCCGTCCTTTGAAGGCTTCCCCGTTAAACTTAGTTGATTCCTCCCTAATAATCCTTCCCTTAGCCCTCAGTCTCACCCGTCTCCCTCCTACACATACCATCACATTCGACGGATTGTGAGGCGCTAAGAATGCACTTCGTACCACTCAGAGGCAAGCCCGCGACCAACCTTCTTCACCCGCGTGATTTCCTTTACCTTCTCCTGAATCCTGATCATGTGAGTCATTAATTTCATTTGTTTTTATGCTATCACTGGATGTGCAATTGAAGCGTGGTCGTAACCTAGCTTGGTCCTTTCCAACTCTTGTGAAGCCCAATTTGGGGAAATTGAAGCGGTTCTGTCAAGCTCGAATGCCCCCGCCCCCTGTTTACTCTGTAAATATGTTTTCTTCGCTTGGCGGATGTTCCCTTCCCCTACTCACCACTCTTCTACGATAAGCCTTTTATCCATTCCATTTGTTCATTGTCTGTTTTTCTTCAACTTTGAATACTCACTAACTGAATATTAGTATTGATAGTGTTTTGTGGAACATAAGTAGGTGCTTCTAAGTTCTATTCACTGTTTTTCTTCGATTGAAGCTGCCTTAACTCTTACAAATTATATTTTTTCCACTTTGCTCGACTAAATATTCATGCCTGCAGTTCAGCCACAAGAAATTGCTAACAGAGTGCCTCTATACATGAGGGTCAGGGTAGAGAACTGTGAACATGATTAGCAGGAAAGTAAAAAACTTCCTATTTAAATCCAACCTTTGTGTAGCTAGAGAAAATGGCATAAGATTCGGTAGCTATGAAATCATCCTTCTGGTGACTGAAATACAATATTCACATTAAGAACCAATTGAAGTTGACAGTTTGACACAAATAACCGTTCTGCCACGGTCAAACATAAACCATCTCATAGTGAGGTCCATTTAGCAGTGACACTTAAACCGCATACTATGATGACATCCGTAGACGATGATCTTCTATTGCTTTTTAAGAAAAAATAGGTAAAACCACTCCCCAGATCATCTTATGTGGCAGCATAAGTTATATATAGGACCTTAAGAGTTGAATTCCCAGTTTTACAAGAACAAGTTAAATACTACTGTGGGCATACCTGAAAAAAATGCTCATGCCCTAAATACTACTGTGGGATAACTCAGATTGGTATAAATGAAAAAAATAAGCGTATGTCCTAGAAAAAGAGCTATCTGCCTACAGAAACTTGACGTATGTCCTAAATACTACTATGGGCACCACTACAGGTCTAATTTGGAACATTATTAAAGTGGAACAAGAGCTTATATAGTGAATAGGGTTAATAAAAAAAAGGACATCCCTCCAACAAGGGCTTATGAAGGAACTTATGCCCTAAATACAAATGTGGGATAACACAGATAGGCATAACTGGAAAATAGATGTAAACACATGTATGCTACCCTCAAACAAGATTTTGTGCCTACAGGAACTTGACATATATGCCCTAAATACTATTTTGGTCGCTACTACAGGTCTGTTTTGACCAAATTATATTGTGAATGGTGATGTCTTCACTCTTTTAGAGTTGTTATTTATGGACAAAGTGGATTGTTGCAAATGTACACTTCAGAGCAATGAGAGAAAGCAGATTATACATAATATATACACTATCTTATATCCCCTTATATTATAAGTGACAACTAACGTTACTATGGTTCTTTTTCCGTTACCATCGTCCAACTCTTATACATGGGTCTTCTCCGTTAAACGAACTCTCCGTTAGGCATCACACCTGATCGGATTTCGGCGGTTTCTTCACAACCGCTCACCAACAACTGTTTCCGGGGCCGTTTAACTTCGACCACGCTACCACTCTCTTCTCTTCTCATCTTCTTCAGTCTCACTGCTCTTCTTCGAACAAGGTACTTCCCTGTTTCGCACTTAGTTATGTATTCTTCGGACAAGGTACTTCAATTCCCTGTTTTCTTATTTTGAATTCATTCCTAAACTACGTGGGTTCTATCACAAGTTATACGGACTATGTTACTAAACCAATGGGATATATAATGAATATGGTTTCTGGGTTTTGGTAGGGGCAGTCACACACTTGACACTTGGACATGGTTTGATGACTTGATCTAATTTATGACCATCAATGTTAAGGGGTGATAGCTAGGTTTGTTCTAATTTGAACCTTAATCGGCTAAATCAATTCTGATTCCAATTATATGAAGGTAATTAATCAAGTTTCGAAATTAAGATTTCTCCCAAGTCTTAAACAATTTTGAAAACCGCAAGGAAGTAAGTTGCATCCAATGTGTTCGTCAAAATGCCTACAAGGGACTGCTCACCACTAGATTTTACTAAATGCCATAATTTGTTACGTCTTATAAAATGGTTTGAAAAGTATCAAATTTCTCATTTTTTTTAAACATATTCAGTAAAACAAAAAACATTGTACACAAGGACAATTGTTTTGTCTAGGTTGATGATATCATCATAATGGGTGGAATTTTGAAAATTCCTTAAGGCCGGAAAAATTTCTCTTACAGCATAACTTGAAAATGAGGATTACACTTTTTATTCATGTTGACAGCTTCATATGCTTTCCTATTCTAACAACTTATTTTTTCCTTTTCAATTTCTTATTCCACTTGTAAACAATTGCACTTTGATCTTTATTCACTACAACTCTGCAATCTTTTGAACACCTAACTCTTGGTCTTCGCTTTGGCAGATGTAGTGAACAAGTAGTACATTAAGATTCCTTGTGACATACAGTAAGAACTTATTTTCTACTTTTTAGTGAAGTGGGTACTCTCTTTATATTCTTATTAAAGTAAGTTAGGACAATATATTTAGATGATGAGAGAGATCACCTTAATTTTTATGATTAATTTTGAAGTTTACCTTGTAGTCTGAAAAAAATATCAAGTATGATATACTATTCGTTTGATAGTTATTGGTCGTTTGTGTGACTTATCAAATCTGTTCAGTTCAAACGATTTTTTGTCCAGGATACTAAAATATTAAATATAAGTAATTTTTTAAAGAGTTGCTCTCTATTTGTATGTGTTAGAAGTATATTAAAAATAAATGTCTTAAACAATGGCTACGGTAGTGATTTTTATAACTAGGTTATACTACGTATAAAATTTTCAGGTTAAAGTAGTGTACAAGGATGGCGAAAATGATAGGAGAGGAACACTGACCAAAATGATGTGGCCTTATGATAAAGTTTGTACAACTTGTTAAAATATGCAATGAAATAAATGAGGTTTACAAATATAGTTACACACGGTATTGTTATGGTTATGGAAAAAATGGATATTAAGATTTGTAAAGTTCATGTGATAGGAATATTGCTTTGAAAAGACCAAATGTATTGTGGCAGGAATTATTTATTAACTAAAAGTTTAACTTGTGTGAATTATAGCATTTGTTAGTGGAAGAGAACAAAATGAATGGATGTGACATTCATTTAGCCTTTTTCTAAAGGTTTTCTTTGTAATCCTAGATAGTTTAGTAACAGCCGTTATCAAGTATGTTAAAGATTTTACTCATTGTCGCATAAATAATGCTGCTACTTAAGTCGGAATTCAAAGATTTAAAAATTCACAGTTTGTGAAGAGCTTTAAAAACAAGCAAATATCATTTAACAAAGGTGTGATTGAGTGTTGTTATGAGTCACACACCGGCAATTATTTCGCAAGCGGTAATTCAATAAGTGTTCTTTTTGCAAAACGTAACATGACGATTGGCTCATAACAAACTGTGATATTGCCGGGAATATACAAAAGAATTTCCGGTTCTGAGTGTTCAAAATCATTGTCATAGTAACCAGCTCCTTGAAGTTGCTACGTTTGCTTGAAATGAGTGTTGCTCCTCAATTTGTTGACATTGGAGAAGTAAATAAAAAACTCAAGGGCGAATGCTTCACTGTTGTAGTTAAATATGTGCGGCCTAAATCCCAGCAAGACACAAAGTTGTCTTTCCCCTTCTTTATGTGTCTTCTTATGTGGTGAAAGCTACTAAAGACCTAGCTATAGCCGAAGCAAACAAAAGCTCCATAATAGGGAAGAGGAAACTTGTAGTTGATGAGAGCTTTGAATTTGAAGTACCTCAAAAGCCTGGCTGGAATCATTCCAAGATATTCCGACCACATCTCAGCAAAACAGGCTAGAGAAAAAACACCTAAATTATCAACTCAATTCCTGATGAAATTACTGCTCTATAAAGTGTAATCTATATAATTTAATAAAGGAAACCCTTGAAGGAAGCCTATGAAGGAATTTTGACATGTGGCAGCCTCTTTATATGAAAAATCAACACGTGGCATCCCATTTGTAACAATAATTGACATGTGGCATCTTAATAATGTGTCTAACAATTATTACATCAATTAAATAAATGAAACTTATATCCCATGTACAAAATTCATTTGTAGCAATCTTTAAAATATTAAAGTAGTACTACGTAATTATTACACAAGTTAGAGCATATAATTAAAGATACATGTTTCCTAAAAAAAATAAACATTTAGGGTATATAAAGTAAACATAGGGTTACCAAACAAAGTCGAAATATACAAACTATTTTTCACTTCTTAAAATAAACGCACATTGCTCTTTACTTCATTTCCAAAACTTCAATACATACTCATTTCTCATATTTTTTTATTAAACTAATTTCAATCTAAATCAGATCGCATCATATTACATAAAATCAAATCAAACTTAAACACATCAAACCAAATCACGCATACTTAAATAAATCAATGGCCCACAAAAAATAAACTAAAAACATTCTTACTCAATTTTTATTGGATATTGTGTTAATTCATTCATCCCACTAAAATTGTCTTATCTTTTCTTTTCATTCCATCCCACTAACATTATCTCATACCAAAATCGGTAAAGTTTGTATAATTTTAAGTCATTCCTACTTTATTCTTACTTTATCAGTTTTATATCATCCACATAAAACCATTTCATTGTCTCATTATTTTCCTATCCCTTCGTTTCCTTTTGTAGTTTTGTCTCACTATGTTTGTACCATAATGTGTATATATTCTAAACAATACTTCATTTATTATTATTATTATTATTATTATTATTATTATTATTATTATTATTATTATTATTATTATTATTATTATTATTATTATTATTACTACTACTATTATTACTATTAATACTATTACTACTATTACTATTATTATTATTATCATTATCATCATTCAATATTGTTATTATTATATCAATTGAACATCAATCATAAAAAATTAATTTTCTTAATAAAATCATCACATTCTTAGTCAACTCAATATAACTCATTCGGTGTTCATGAATTCACATACAACTCATACCCATGCTATCTTATTCTTTTTTTTAATACTTTTTCATAACAACATTTTAACGCATATCTTACCGTGCGTCGCACGGGTACACATACTAGTATAAATAAATAAGATAGGCTCACCTTGTTTAGCAATTTCCTGTCTTAAAATTTGGCAACGAAATTTTCTATCAAATGTTTAGTAAAAAAGAAACAAGTTTTTTCTAATATTCCGTTTGGCTTCAACTAAAAATCCATTCAACCAGTCTAATAATATACACATACAATCATGAAATTTTATTAAATCCTATTTAATTAGTTATTGATTACAAATCAATTACTTAACTTATTTCACCATATTTACCTAAAATATCACTACTCACTATTTATGCATTGGGCAAGATTCGCACATAGTGCGTACAAGGCTAGTATATATATATATATATATATATATATATATATATATATATATATATATATATATATATATATATATATATATATATATATATATATATATATATATATATATATATATATATATATATATATATATATATATATATATATATATATATATATATATATATATATATATATATATTCTTCATATCTTATAAGATCATATAATAAATGTATAAGAGTGGAAACAGAGACCTAAGGTTATATGTGAGCCTGACTTCATTAACTTTTGTAAGTTTCTCAGATTATCTACATAGCTATCTTGCTCATCAAACTGTTTGAAGGAAATATTATACTATGTATGTAGCATGATATAGTTCAATAATATTGTTTCTACAATTTTTTACAGTAGTATGCCTTACCACATATATGGTATACTGAAGTAAAAAAACATGATATACTTTTTGAAAGGTTGGCCTAAAGCCTTTTGACCTAAGGCTACTCATATATATTCCACTCATATTATCTATTAATTATTGGATTGCGCCTTGGGATTCCGTACTCATGTTTTAAATTAATATGCCTTACTCTTATAATATAAATTTATGAATTAAATTCATATCTAATCAATTGTTCTTATATATTATTGTGACTATTTGAAGAATATATGAAGTAAAAACATAGAATTTTACTACTAATGTCGTAGAGATTCTAATACCATTATACCAAATGTTATCTATAGGTATTCTTAGCTTCTCAGGACAGACCCGATTCGACACGTATCACTCGGCTTATTCAAGGTTATGAGACTCATTCATTCGAGTCCAAATTTGATTATTGACCATCTGGGTCAGTACCCGCCTCGAGGAGGGAAGAGGAAAAATTGCAGGTATGACCAAGTGTGATATAGAATGTTGAATGTGTGTGTGTTAATTTCCATCTTTCTCTATTTATTGTTGTTTCCTCTGAGATCATATGTCGATTCGTGTTAGCCGATCCCAAACTCTTTTGGGAGTAAAGCTTGATTGGGGTTGTTGTTGTGTTGTTTGTACGCTCGCTTGTGGTCTTTGCTCAAAAAACAAGGCAAAAGTGCATACAAAAGTGACTCAATAAATGAGGAAGTAGCCCTTTTGCTAGAAGCGGGGGGAATAGGGGTTTGTGTTATCTATTTGTTATTGTATACTAGGGATAGCTAAAGGGGAGCCTTGAATTTTGAGAGGATACGAAGAACTAATAATGCAGCCTGGTATTAGGTTTGGTGCCTAAATGGCCGTGCAAAGATTCTGGTTATTAATATAACACTTACACTCTCATGATAGGAATTGAAAGACGATTATTACTTGTGCTCATTGAGGTATCTATCATTGTATTGTCAGTTATAAAAATTCAATTGTCTTTAATAGCCCCTCATTACCCATTTCACGTGCTTAGTATTGAGCATAAAATAGGGAGTTATTTTATTAATTATTTAAGTATAAGCTAATATTATAAAGTATCTTAAAGAAATAAGAAAATCGAGGACAGTTAGTTTCACTTTTTCACCTTTAACTCATAAAATGACACATAAGAAGAGCGGGAGTAATTGCTCAATGCAAAGGGCAGTTTCATACTCTGTTTTCAACATTGCTTTATCAGTGTGCTGCCTCTTTTGTTAGCTTAGCTTGTGATTGATTATTTTTTATATGTTTTCAGCGTTATGAATCTGGGAGGACGAAAAGATGGCTTCTAAGTTGTATACCTCAATGTGCAATTCACTGAAAGGGAGAGTTGTGCCGTATTTCTGTTTTCTCCTCTCATTTTAGCCACTGTGATGTGCCTGATATTGTAACTTTTTTGCTTCTGCAAAATATTGCAATCTTTATATAGCATAAAATGGACTTAACATACACAAATGGGAAACCTAAACCTAATGAGAATAGTGAATCGCAATACTTTTAAACATAGACCTACCGTGCTCCTTGCTTGATATGCCTTTAATTTTTACTTGCTCCACTTTACCTCAGAGGCTCAAAGTCTAAAAAAGATCATGTAACCTTATATGCATTTTATTTATTTGAACCAAGACATAAGGCTCCAAGCCTCCAACCGTATGCCACATAAGCCTAAAAGTATATAGTGTTTTGCTTAAATTATAATATACATTTATGTGCATGAAAATAAAATTTCATGCTATTAATGTCACTACAATAGTTTTGTTTTTTACTCTAGGGGGGTCTGGGGAGGGGGGCTGGGGGAGCCTGGAGTAATCAGGGCTTCTTTTCAATAATTCTCAAAATTTCAGTTAAAATATAACTTTCAGTTTATATTGAACAGTTATAACTTTCAGTTTACAATATAAACTGAAAGTTACCATTCCTTTAAATTTTTAGTTATTTTTTCCTTTCATTGTTATCTTCCTGGGCTGTGATTTAACCTTTAAACAGTTACTCTCTCCGTTCCATTTAAAGGTTCCCACTTTCCTTTTTTGGACGTCCCACTTAAAGGTTCTTACTTTTAGGAAACAATTAACACTCTTAAATGACAATTTAATCATCAAATACTAAAAAACAATATTTATAAAATCACTGTTATCATCAACAACCCATTATATTTTATACTCATCAAAATTATTTCTCAAAATATATTCGAATTAGCATATTTGATTATTGTCTTAATAATCGTGTTATTTTGTCACGGGAACCTTTAAATGGGACGGAGAGAGTATTTAACTTTTTTAGTTTTACTGTTATCTTCATATTCAACTATATGGACTCCCTTTCATATTTGCTAATTCTTGCTCTAAATTTGTTTCCCCTTCATTTATCGAGATAATCAAGAGCTTTTGAGAGTCTCTAGAGGTGGCTATATCTTCTAACTTCATATAAGTTTAGATTGAGCAATACACTTTCCAGCCTATTGCATTGAGAACACATCTCTTTGTTCCACATAATTGTTCCTGTTTATTTTTGTTTGGTCCCATCTATCCTCTCTACGATCTTCTCTTATTTCATCCTATTCACTGACTTTCAATTTTCACTTCCCTCTTTCAATTCCCCCCCTTACATGAATAAATTTATGGTCCCTTCCATTCTCTTCTTCATCAAACCTTCATACCCTTCTAGGATTCCTTCTTTTATAAAATCTTTGTACGTAGATTGTAACAAAGTAAATTGAGTTTTGTCGTGTTGTTTTGTTGAATATTCCCCCAGTTTATATATTCGTTTTCGTGTGCATTAACATAAATATGACGGCTCTTCTTTGAATATTGTTAGCTTCACATTTTTATTGGGTTTTTATTCATTATACAGATTGTATATGTTCCTACTGCATATATATTCCAATTCTATATAGAACATTCTTATTTTACATCATAAGCCCTCCGGTATCAAATATGGAGTAGATCTTCATTTTTTATAGCCAGTAGCTTTGTTACTCCGTATCAGAATTTTGACCCTACCTGATTGTTACTAATAAGGGAAATTCCTCCGACAAGGGTGTGCTGTTGCCATGTGTGGATTGTTCCTAACCAGGGAAATTCCTCCGAACCCTACCTCATTGAAGAAGAGGTACAATTCTTATTAATTCCTTATTGTTTACTTTACTTTGCAAAATGCAGTCTAAATTTACTTTAATTCCTCCGAACCCTACCTCATTAAAGGATGAATAAAAAAGGTCCAAAATGCAGTCTAAATTTAGAGCTTTCCTTTATTGGTATTGTACTTATCTTACATATGCCTAGACAAATTAAGAAAGTTAGACTCATACAGAGATTCGGGAAGAAATGTAATACAATTTGCATACCCATAAAGAAAAGCATAAAGTTTGGTCTTTACTCGGGCAAGAATGAAATACAGGGTAGTGATAAGCCTATTTTTTCCAAACTTTGTCGAAAATAAAATTACTTTGGTGCTTGCTCAGCCATTTTTGTTTCACTTTATGTGGCAATTATGTAAGATCAATTCCACTGCAAAAACAATCAGCAATTTCCAGAGTGAATATGTAACGTATGATGATACATTAATATTTCTCTTTTTCTAGAGGACAGGCTTTGAACACCTAAATCCAAAGAATAACATGTCATTCAATTTTGCACCCCAAAGCCCATTTGAAATCATCGATTTTCACTTTGTAGCATGTTCACTCTGTTTAATATATAACAATTGAACCTGAAGCCATATAGTTAATACTTAATAGCAGTCAACGAAATGTGCCAAAACGAACTGCACTAATTAATCATACTAAGGATCACAGTTGAATCTATGACTATGAATGTTCGTCTTTCACATCCAAGAAAGTAACAACCATCAACCATGATCAGTGCTAATGTGTGGCCTAATTATCTAAACATTTATCAGAAGTGCTAGAGCAAAAAGCCATAAGATCAAATTAGCTAATGTTTGTCCTACTACACAAATTATATTTCAATTTCAGAATTCAGATCCAAAAGAGCAATGTCAGGTTTACTTAGTATCCTCTTAAAAAATTAAAAAAAATCAAGAAAAAGCCATAGTGAGAAAAAGGCAAAGTATAAACTACTTCAGTAAAAACTTTATTCTTTAATGTTTGATGTACAATCTGTTGAAAAGTTAAGTATTTTATTCATTTCAAGTGCTATTATATACATTCAAGCAGATTTTATATGCTTTATCATATCGATTTTTTCAATCAGAAATGTAACCAAAGGCAATGCAAAGTAAAGTAAACAATAAGGAATTAATAAGAATTGTACCTCTTCTTCAATGAGGTAGGGTTCGGAGGAATTTCCCTGGTTAGGAACAATCCACACATGGCAACAGCACACCCTTGTCGGAGGAATTTCCCTTATTAGTAACAATCAGGCAGGGTCAAAATTCTGATACGGAGTAACAAAGCTACTGGCTATAAAAAATGAAGAGAGAGAATCTCCTCCGTCTCTCTAGAAATCCAACGACATCTTAGAACAACCTATGGAATTCTGGCACCCTCTTAACCGCCGGAATCAAGGCTACCTACCTAATGATAATGATACCTGCTACTGGAACAACGATGGTATCCCCAATCGACGCTTCTATCGCTGTTTGTAGTGGACCCTTCGGCTCTGCAATTTCCAGATTGCGAATGTCTGCCATCGCCTGGTTGCCGGCTTTCGGCAATGATTATCCTGTTCAATTGTAAGCGCTGAAAAATGATTAATGTCTTCTAGGGAATTTCCCTCGTTTGGTGTTGATGTGGGATAAATGTGAAATCGTTCGAAATTAACAAAGCTCTACTTGAGAGTCCAGGTTCACTCTGCGAGTGTGTTCATAGATGTTGGAGTCTCCGCCTGAGTGATAGAATACACAAGACTGCGAGAGTTTATTCGGAATAATAGAATGGGTATCGCATTTACAAAAGTGTCCCAGTCATGAGCGGGAAAATGAATTAAGTGAGTTAATATATATATATATATATATATATATATAGACACATATACGGAGTATTATTTTTAATATTTGATAATTAAATTATCATAAAAAAGTTCTAATTGTTGAGATTTTTCCCGAAATAATGCTAATTAAATAAATAATTCCCAAAATACTGCTAAGTTAAAAGTAATTTCCAAAATACTGCTAAGTTAAGAAAAGCCGCCTCTTGAAGAAGTGGCGGCTCTTCTCTTACAGTACAAAAGCCGCCACTCCAAGTGGCGGCTCTTCTCTTACATCACTTTTTATACATATATAAAACGCAATTTGTTTCAAGAATTTGTTTAACTATCTTCCTGATAGAATTTTAAGCTGAAATTTGGTATGATCATGTTCTTCCTAAAGTGTATGTTATGTTCACTAATTTCATATTAAAATTAAATCATGAATTTAGTCAAATAAATTATTGAAAAACTGCATTTTTAGGTCTAAAAAATTATGCAATTTTTAACAATTTATTTAACTAACTTCCCGATTTTTGAATTTTAATCTGCAATTTGGTGGACATAATCTACATTCCATTGGAACATTTTCACCAAATTTCATCAAAAAATTCGACCCGAAAATAGCTCAAATGAAAGAGGCCTAAAATTGCAACTTTTAGGCCTACATTACATGAACATTTTCAGAAGGCACGAGCCACGAGACAAAATTTGTGCCAAGATAATTTTATAAGTTATGCAAATAAATCGTTTGGTATGTTATTTCCCGGTAGCAATATTTTATAATTTATTATTGTTTCATAATAATTTGTCCATAAGTCATATGTTTTAGCTGCATGTGTTATATGTGATATGCATTTCCATTTTTACATTACTTTGAGCATTTCTATCAATACTTTGTATTTTGTAGGATTACACATGCTTCTCTAGATTACACTCTGAATTTGAATTTATCGTTGCCTTCCAGACACGAGCTCAATTAAATTGGGCGAAACTATGATTCTGCAATTGGAACTTAGAGCAATAGTACCGGTTGCTAAAGTTGATGTGGGTGTTGAAACTGTTTCCAATGGTCATAAACTACCTAAAGAGAGTTCATATTTATTTAGTAAGTGGAAGAGAATGAATTGTTTGTAAGGGCATAATGATGGCAGTGATAGCTCGAATCTGAATTTAGTTCCTTTAATCGAGAAGTTAGTTAAATTTTTTTTTTGAAAATTGCAAACTTGTTTAGGCCTAAAATTGCAATTTTTTTCAATAAATAATTTAACTAACTTCTTGATTTAATTTTAATCTAAAATTCGTTGAACATAACATATACTTTAGAAAGAGCATGATCACTAAATGTCATTAAAAAATTCGACTCGGAAGCACCTCAAATTTCATAAAAATGTCTCATTCCCTTCATGACGTCCTGACCAGGACCCCGTGTGGACAACACCATCAGATTGTCTTCCCGGTGGAATTTTTTGATGAAATTTCTTGAGAATGTTACTCATCAAGTCTAGTTTATTCATACCAAAGTTCAGCTTAAAATTCTATCGAGAAGATATTTAAACAGATTCTTGAAACATGTTATGTTTGATATATGAATAAAATGTTCTGTAAGAGAAGAGCCGCCACTTGGAGTAGCGGCTTTTGTACTGTAAGAGAAGAGCCGCCATTTCAAGTGGCGACTTTCCTTAACCACAGTTAACCCAGCAGTATTTTGGGAATTATTTTTAACTCAACAGTATTTTGGGAATTATTTATTTAATTAGCATTATTTCGGGAAGAAGCTCCTAATTATTTCCTAAATCAGAAATGAGAACCTTTACTATGACGACCAAAAAAGGAAAGTTAGAACTTTCAGTTGGGACGGAGAGAGTATTAGCTTTCAAAGTCTTATAATAAAGTTAAGTACATTCAATAGCCGATTTAAGTTGGTGTAATGCCATTGAAAATTTGGTAAAGGTTTGTGTGATATACCTTTTTTCTACTCCAGGGGCGTCTGGGGGAGGGCGTTTGAGGGGGCCTGGAGTAAACTGGACTGAAACTCATTCATTTGAGTTTTGAACCCGAGACCTCCCATAAGGGAGAGTGAGTTGGCGATCAGCTGAGCTGGACCGCTTTCTCATGTTGGTGTAATATACTTCAGTCATTCCTTTTTAATAGCAATGGTCCACTTCTCACGCTTGCCAAGACACAAGTTTGACTATTAATATCTTTCATTTCTTATTAGTAAAAAAATTAAAAAAAAAATAGATTTTGAAAACTTAAAATGAGAGGAATTAAAAATATTTTTTAAAAATTTAATTTATAATACATCAATTAATAAAAGAAAATTCAAAATAGAATATGTGAATAGTGCAAAAAGTCCAATGTTGCAAATAAAAGAGAACGGAGATAGTACTATTTTAAGCAAGTAATTTTTAATGAGATAATTGCCCTACATATGACTAAAACTACTCCACTTTTCCGATCTATGACCTATTTAGTTTTTTTACCTAAATATTATTTAATTCGTAATATTTAAATAATGTATTTAATAAATTAATTAATAAATAATTTGTTTGGACTACTATGCCCTTAACCTATTTTTATATAACCCTAATTGATCAGTTGATCGATCATCATAGCTCCAGACCTGTGGGCGGCACGCGATTGTTGGGCGATGTCTTCTTTGCTCTCGTGAGTGGCGATTGGTGGGCGGCCACTGGCCCGCTGGTAGGATACGGAGGCAGATTCGTCCGGATTGGAAGACGATCAGGGGCGTAGCTAGGGGGTGGCCACCCCTGGCCCTGGCCCAGCCCAAGTTTTAAAAATGTTTAAATTTTTAGTGTAAAAAATTCTGTGTAAATTTTTTTCAAAAATATTCTTTGTACCGGCCCAGTCCGGCCCAGTGTCCTGGCTCCGCCCCTGACAGGGGCGGAGGTAGAGGGGTGGCCAACCGGGCCCCGGCCCGCCCCAATTTTGAAAATTCTTTGTATTTGTAGTGTAAAAATTTATGTGAAAAAAAATTATCTGAAAAAATTCTTTGTACCGGCCCAGCCCAACCTTCAATCCTAGCTACGCCCCTGGCCCCTGAGACGATGGAGGCAGATTCGTCGAGATTCGTGGTCGATGGAGGCAAATTCGTTGGCAGCAATCGTTTTTTCTCAGGTTGAAGGCTTTGGGTGTTGTGTTTGAAACTCTGTTATTATTATTGAAATTTTTGAAAATTATAAAAGAAAATGATTTGCTACATACTCGTATGTGAAATTGTGAGTTTTGAAAGATGGATTGTTGTTGTTGACATACTTTTTCGAACATGACATTCAACATTGACATCGAACATGCTAATCGTTGAATATGATAGTGAATATGATAATAAATAATACTTTGTATTGTGCAAGGCAATAAATTGAATGCATTGAGCAAGTTTGTTGTGCAGTGAATAGATGTAGTAATATAGGACAATAATGTCGTCATGAAATGCAATATACTTTTTTTAGATGTAAAATAATAAAATTTTAAATTAAAAAAAATAAAAAATACAAAATAAAAACTATAAATAAATTTCTAAAGTGAATGAGAAGAGAATTAATTTTGCTCGGAAGAGCAGTGATTATTACCGAATGTGCAATAATATCGTGCAGTAATGTCGTGCAGTAACAAAAATATAAAGTGCAGTAATTTTAATTGAACGAAATTAATACAAAATTCACATGTTTTATGTAAGGGTATTTTCATCATTCAACCTTTAAATATAAACGAATTTTTTTTTTGGATTTTAGGTCATACAAAAGTCTAAAAACTAGTTAAGTCGTATATTGGGAAACTCATTGAGTACGTTTTAATCATATCCTAGGAAATTTCCCATTTTTATTGCCCCAATAAATTTGTCAGTTTCATGTTAATCAATTAATTTACGGTTCATGTTATTTCTTTTTCCTGTTCAAAAATATTAAGTATACAGTTTTTACATAATTATTTTACATGTCGGTCAACTTGGAAAAATTTTAATAGACGAAGGGCGTAATTTTGAAAGACATCGAATCTATTAAATACGTCAACTGCAACTTTGGTTGTAATTTTAGCGCAAATAACATTCGAGTACCGTTTAGAATACCTCGATCCTTATTTTTCTCTAACCATCTAGGCAATACGATTTCTCGAGGGCATTGTGATAAGTCCATTTTTGTACTTATTTTCCTTATCAAATTTAAGTGATTTTTGATTGAAAATAGAAAGAAAGGGCATATTTTAGATATTTTGGTTCAAGTTTCATGAAATCAGGTGAAAATCACATTCATAATATGTTTGCCGAAATTTCGGGTCAATTGAACACAAAATGAGTCAATTTGAGTAACAAATGAATTCCTACCGGAAGAAGCAAGCATTATATCAAAGTGATTCAGAAGACAATCTTGAAGAGCAGGAAATGCAACATTTGCCAGACAAATTTAGCAGAAGGCGCCCAAAAAGGCCTCCAATTTGGCCGCCTACTTGGCCGCCTTTGAAATTTTTACAAGTCAACGTTGACTTTGACCCGAAACAGCAAATGACAGAAAGCTGCCGACACCAGACGGAGGGCGGCCGCCCTCGGTGACCGCCTGCGGCACAAGGCGACGCGAGTAACCACCGGTCAGTGCGATTCGACGGCAGGCGGCCAGACAGGAACGGTAGGAGGCCGCCTTCTGGACCGCCTGCGGCTGACGAAGACGGGACGATTTGAGCTGCCGGCGACAAGACGGAGGGCGGCCGGTGAGCAGCGAAGGGCGGCCGCCTGTTCGGGCGCCTTCGGGAAAAGTTGGGCTATAAATACCAGGCTTTTTTCCCATCTCAAACACACCAATTTCAAGCCCAAATCAGATCAAAAAGGGCATTTTCTTCCTCCTCAAAACTCGGATTTCCAGCATTGTTGCACCTTCAACTTCAATCTTTCATATCTTTCTCATTTTAGCTCCCAATTGTGAGTTCTTTATATGTATTTTCATCCTTTAAATGTGTAGAATCTGAATCTGTACTTTGTTTGTTCTATCTGTGCTTCGAAA